GAATTTATAAGGAATTTGAAATTCAAGCATTTGTGAAATTCCTTGAAATAGTAGAATTTCAAATTCTCCCAAAAGAGTAAGAATTTGAAATTCCTCATACTTTTATCTTCTTATTTCACTTATATATTTTATCTTATCTCTTATCTCTTCATGTTTTTAATTATTGAATATTCAAAAATATATTTAAAATTATTAAATATTATCTACTATTAATTTTTAAAATTATTAAATATTTAAAAATTAGCTAATATTTATTTTTTTAAAATTTAATTTAAAAATCTCAACATATAAATATATTTTTAAAATCAATTTTATCATGGTGGAATCAACTTATCATATCCAACCTAACAATTTAAAATTTGAGAAATTTGAATTGACTTATTCAAACAAAATATTTTAACAATGATAGAAATTTAAATCAAAGTAATTCAAATACCAAGAATTTAAAATTCCTTAAATTTGTGAAATTCCTCATCCAAACACACCATAAGGGAGAATTTCACACTAAAAAGATTTTACTTTCATAAGAATTTGAAATTTAAAGTTAGAAATGTTAGTTTTTCAAATTTGTTTCATCATCGAAAATCATTACTAAACGTAGTTTCTCAAAAATGATTTTTATATAAATTTTTCATTAAATTATTTTCATGGGTAAAAATTTTTGAGTTAAAAGGAATACTTTATTGTAGTAACCGGTAAATATATTACATTATCTTAATTTGTTTAATTAATATAATAAAAATATTTGATTCTTTGATATGAAATAAAGCTAAGGAATAATATTACTAGCTGTTGGTTGAGTTAGTTACGTGTGTTCCACATTTTAAGGGAAATTGTTAGATTCAGTTTTGGGAAGTTAAATAGAGAGCCAGTAAACAATTAGAGGGACACTTGTTGTTGTATCCAGATCTCCTTCTTGTAAACTCTCAAACACGCAATAAACTCTTCGAAACCTTTTCTCCTGTAAGGTTCCATGTCTCAATCTCTGTTCTTCGAATTACATATGAATTTCCTAGAACTAAGAAATATTATAAAAATTGGTATCAGCCGGGACGATTCAGTGAACTAACCTTCTATGGCAGAATCAACTCGTCATGCGGCAGCCATGCGGGAGTTGGAAGAACGGTTGTCAACGAAGTTGGAGGATCATTTGGTGGAACTTGCGGGTTCGATACAGCGAACTTTGACTGATTCTATGAAAGAAAGGTTGCAAGAACTGATGGGTAATGTGGGTAATATATTAGGATCAGATGGTATTCATGGACAGAATCGTGGGTCTTCTTATTCTTGTGGAACTAGGCTTGCTAGGATTGATTTTCCCAAGTTTAATGGTGAGAATGTGAACTAGTGGCTCTATCAATGTGACAACTTTTTTCTTATTGATAATACACCTGAGGACTATCGTGTTAAACTTGTTGTTGTTCATATGGAGGATCGGGCTTTACAGTGGCACACGACTATTGATAAAACTACTAATTGTTCTAATTTGCCTTGGCTTAAGTACAAGAAACTAGTTCTTGAAAGGTTTGGTGATGTTTGTGATGATCCAATGGAAGATTTAATGAAATTGAGGCAGAAAAAGTCGGTCATCGAATATTATGAGGAGTTTGATGCTATTATTACTCGCTTGAATTTGTCTGAGGAGTATTTGCTTAGTTGTTTCTTAGGAGGGCTTAAGAAGGATATTCAAATGATGGTAAGGATGTTTCAACCAACTACAGTAAATAAGGCTTTTTCATTAGCAAGATTGTATGAGGCTACTAATACTTCAGGTTCTGTGATTAATGAGATCAATAAACAACAGAAAAGGGTATTGGGCCATCGACCATTGAGTGTTGATAATTCTAATTCTTCCAGTACAGGAACTAATGCTAGTAAGATTAAAGCAAGGTCAGGGAAGAGTTTGACCCCTGCGTACATGAATAAAAGGAGGGCCAAGGGTCTCTGCTATTTTTGTGATGAGTCGTACTCACCTGAACATAGTTTGACTCACAAGAAGTTGCTAGTGCATGTTTTGGAGATTGATGATGAGGATGACCAGTGGGAGACAGTGGCTAATGTAAATGACGGACCTACAGTAGGGGAACCACAAATATCAGTTAATGCATTGACAGGAGTTGCTAGTTTTCGTACCATGAGGATTACGGGGTATTATAAGAAAAAACCTTTGCACATTCTTATCGATAGTGGCAGCACACACAATTTCTTGGATATTCAAGTGGCTAAGAAGTATGGGTGCAAGATTGAAGAAAGGGAGCCTTTAAGTGTTGTGGTAGCAGATGGGTCCAAGCTTACAATTTCTTGTATGGTGAAAGGCTTCACTTGGTTTATTTAGCAAACTACATTTACTTCGGACATGTTATTGATTCCTTTAGGTTGCTGTGATTTGGTTTTAGG